CCGGGGCCACGCCGGGGCCTTGCAGGCCGGCGACCGCACGGACCACACGCTCGGGCACCTGCGGGAGGAAGGGCGGTGAGCGGGCTGTGGCGCTGCCCCTGGCCGCACATCCCCGCCCGGCTGGCGCCCACCTGTCCGTCCCCGAAGCGCGCTTGCAGCGCGGGCCGCGGCGCCAGGAAGTCTCGGGCGCGCAGGTGGCGGGCGCGCGTCTCCTTGAACCACACGGGGTCGCCAGGCCCCAGGGCCGTGTTGAGGGCCCCTAGCGTCTCCCCGACCCCCAAGCGCCCCGTCGCCATGGCGACCGGAAGGAGCCAGCGGAACCGGAAGCAAAACGTCAGGAGGTCGAGCTTCCGGGAGGGCCGACTGGCCGGGGCGCGTATCCGGTGGTGGTCCCTGAGCGGACAGGTGCGCCAGAGGTAACCGTGGCGGCCGCTTTCGACCTTCGGTCCCAGCACTCCCTCCGCGTGGTCCGCCTGCCCTGCCCGGCCCCGGCATCGCGAGGTCCGCCTTCGGCCTAGAGTTCCGTCGTCGTCACCGGCATTAGCAACCAGGGAAAGGATCCTCGCTACCGGGTGGGGCCCAGACCCGACTGTTTCATCGAAATCTTACCTATTTGTGATAACGTTTCATTCCCCACATTTGGCACTTGATCAAACGTCAAAAGTTCCAAATGAATTGTCAGCGGAATAGGGCAGCTAACCATTTTCAGGACCTCCTAAAAAAAAAAAAATCTCATTTTTGAAAGAATCTGTGTTCTGCGGCTTCAGGTTATTTACAGCCCATTCCTCCTTTGCTATTTGGGTCTTTACTCCCGATAAATGCGTACTCTGGTAGGATTTTTCTTGATTTTTGAGGAATTAGAACCATCATATTTTCCAGAATTACCAGTTTTTAATGCTTTTAACCTTGTGTACATTATCAGGGATACTCAGGCCTTTTGGTTTAGGCAACGAGCCATTGTAGGCAAAATAAACAATGTGACCATGAGAAGACCCAGCTAAAGGACTGCTCTCAGTTGGGAGCATCCCATTCCACTACAGAGAGCTCTTTCCTCTGTCCCACAAGGACTCCGGAATGTTTTCATTTCAGTGTAACTTAAATCCCCCTTTTCTCTATTTTCTTTAATGGAGATTGAACCCGACACAGCACAGAGTGCAGGAAACCCATAATTACTGCTCTGGAGCAGTGAGAGTGCCCAGAGTTCAGAAAGGAGGGGATCCTAGGGGCAGGAAGTTTGGCAAGACCCCTTTCTGGGCCAGGGCTGCAAGGCCCTGCTGGGATCCCCGAAAGAGCACTGGGCGGACACGACATTCCCGATGGCTTCTTGGGTGCCCACTCAACGGGAGTGATCGTGTCATTCCAAAGCGCTTTCCATTCCGCAGTCGCATGACCCAGGGACAGCTGCTAACAGGCTGGAGGCCAAGCCGGGGACTTCAGCTACTCTCGGTACACGAAGACGGTTGGGGTGGGTTTTCCCCAGGAAGTGAAAGGCTATCTATAGCCTGCGGGCTGGGGTGGCCCTGCCCTGTGGGACTCACCGCCATTGCAGCCCTGTCCAAAGGCCCTGGGACCAACCTCCCTTGTCAGTGCTACTCCAGGTTCAAGAGATGACCATAACCCTGGCTCTCCGACGTCTACGCCCACCATCTCCAGCCTGAGGGCGCACCTGAGACAGGGGCGGAGACCAGAGAGACCCAAATAAAGTATGTCTGGGGTCAGGGGTTGGCCCACCCCATCTAGGCCAGGACGCTGCTCTGGCAGGAGAGCAGGGAACGAAATCCAAGCGCAGCTGGAATGCTCTGGAGACAACAGCTGCTTTTGGGATTCCGTTGCCCGCTGTCCAGCCGTGGGCGGGGGAGGGGGGGGACTAACCCCGGGAGGGTGGTGGTCCCTTGCCCTGGGGCCAGATCAGGACCCCCCATTCCCAGTACCAGAAGACGGACCTAGAAGTGGGCGGTAAAGCCGAGTGTAGTGGGAACGAGGCGCTCACCTGGGCCCCAAAACAATAGGAAGATTGGTAAGGGCCTCCCTTAGGACCGGTCCCGATCCGGATTAGATCCGCAGGGTAGGATTACTCCTGTTGGTCCCATGAAACCAGGCCACCGGTGCGGTGACGGTGGCGGGGCGGGCTTCGGGATCGGCCAAAAGAGGAGCTCGCCCGTCGGGCCGGAGAGGAAGTAAACCCGCGCACCAGCCTCGGGGACACCCCCGCACCCGGAGCCCTTTGTCCCGTGACTCTGCCCGCGCCCGGAGCGCTGGGGTGGGGGTGGGGGTGGGAGGCAATGGCGGCGACGGGACCCCCGGGAATCCATTGCGACCGTCCCCCGCTGTGCCGAACCTCCCGCCCGCCCGACCCCGTGGGTAGCAGACGCGTCAACGTTCCCTTGAGGCCACGACACCGTGGGGGCGCGGAGATGCCCGAAACCCGCGCGGGCGCCAGCGACTCTCGCGCCAGTAGGCCCTCTGATTCGGCTCAAGACGGGGGGTCGGGGAATTCTCGGGCCGCGAGCAGAGTGAGCGACGACAGGGCGATGCTCCAGCCGCTGTCTAGTTCAATATCTGGTCCCGTTCGGCCCGGTCGATCCCACCCGGACAGCTACAATCGCCCCACCACGGCGTCCCCTTCCGCTTGCTCCGGCCGCAGACTCGGAGCCATTTTAAGGAGAAACCAATCAGCCACGCCCCCTCGCGCTCCCGAGAAGCCAATCCACGCGCAGCCACGCCCTGGGAGACGCGCGGCGGCGACGCCAACGGTCGCGCGGGTGACGGTTGGGGAGGGGCGTGATTCGCGGGAGAGCGAGGGAAACCTGAGCCGGCCGCCCCGCCCTGGGAACCCGACGCCCCAAAGCCTGGGATTAGGGGCTTGGAGGCTGGCCCCACGCCCTGGCCAGGTGTGCGGGACTCGACCAGGTGCGCGGCCGCCCCGCCCCAGGCCCCGGGAGCCCTACGTAATGGCTGAGAGCCGGGGACCAGGCTGCGGCGGGGGCCCAGGCAGCGCTCTGAGGCGGCCACGCCACCAGCTGTCTGGCTCCCCCAGGACGGTCTGCGGGGGCCCGGGGCGGGGCGGGTGGCAGGTGCAGACACCGGAGCCGCGCCTGGGGACGGGTCCTCCTGGGACAATTGGCATCGGCCTGCTCCCTCAAACTCCCGCGCTGGGGCGGCTGACCTGCGCCGTGCCCTCCGGGACGCAGGGGGCGCTGTCGGCGCGCTGCGGTGGGCTCCGCCACGACCCCGCTGACCCAGCGCGGGCCTCCCTGCTTGCCGGTCCGACATGGTCGCCGCATTCGTGCTTCCCGGCCTGTGCCGAGCGCGGGCAGTGCTACGCTGTTCTCCTGCCGAGCTGCTGAGGTGAGCCCGGGCCCAGCGTCCCTGATTCTCCCGCCCCGCCACGGCCGGCGATCCCGGCCCCTCCTGATCCCCTAGACCCTGAGCACACCCCTCCGCAGGGCCCCACGGCGAGGGCATCGGCTCACGCCGGCGGACGACGAGCTGTACCAGCGGACGCGCATCTCCCTGCTGCAGCGCGAGTCCCCGCAGTCCATGTATATCGACAGCTACAGCAGCCGCGGCTTCACGGTCAATGGAAATCGCGTGCTTGGGCCCTGCGCGCTGCTCCCGCACTCCGTGGTGCAGTGGAACGTGAGCAGTGAGGCAGCGGAGGGCCAGAGTCCCAGGCCTGCCCCCTGATTCTGTCCCTGGCCAACTTGGGCTTTTCCGTTGCCCCTTTGTGGCGCAGGTAAGGGCTCTGTGGGGAAAGCTACGCGAACTTGTTTAACCTGCCTCCTCCCAACACAGGTAGGAACTCACCGGGACATCACCGAAGAAAGCTTCTCCCTCTTCTGGTTGCTGGAGCCCCAGATAGGTACTGGAGAAGGGGAGGGCTGAGGTGCTTCCAGGCCTAGAAAGCCAAAAGCCACCCCGCCCCAGCCTCCCCACAGGCCTGCCTGCCGCAGGCTAGCCCTGGCCATCTTTCCCTAGAGATTGTTGTGGTGGGCACCGGAGCCCGGACTGAACGGCTGCAGCCCCAGGTGCTGCAAGCCCTGCGGCAGCGGGGCATCGCCGTAGAAGTGCAGGACACGGTAAGCCCTGCGCCTCGGGAGCGCGGAGCAGGGCCCAGGCCTAGCCCTCGCCACGCTGATGCAGGCTTTCTCTTTGCAGCCCAATGCCTGTGCCACTTTCAACTTCCTGTGTCATGAAGGCCGAGTAACAGGAGCTGCTCTTATCCCTCCACCCGGAGGGACTGTGCTCACAGGCTGCAGAAGGAACCACCAGGAACTGAGCTCACCTGTCCAGGAAGGCGCTGGCACTTCGCGGAGTGCAGGGGTTTCCAGCGCTTTCATTAGCCCTTCCCCTTTGGCACTGTAACACTTGTCTTTTTTGCCAGCAAATTAATAATTTAATCCACCTTTCCCATTTTGTACTAGTTGTGTTGCTAGCAAGGAAGAGCTGCTGGCTCAGCGGGCTCTTGGGGGGGGGGGTGTGTGAAACCAGAGGATCCCCTTTTTATTTAGACTACATAGCTTCTCAGAGGCTGGAGGTAGTATAGGCACCTGTCCCAAAATGCAAATCTTTGTACTTGCTCACAATGCAGATTTGAGGGGACCCTCTGCTTTCTCAAGGTCCCTTGGAGATTCAAGTTAAGAGAATTGTGTATGTGGCTCTCAACCTGGTCCCACGTGGCCAAGCAGGAGGCCCTGTGGGGGCCAGTCCAAAGCCCCCGAGGACTATTCCATGACCTGTCCTAAGCAGCCACAATGTGAGACTGAACCCTTGTGAGCCAGAGCTGGCCTGACCTACCTTGTGAGCTGCCTCAAGAGGGACTTTTTTGAATTTAGAATTAGTACCTCCTTCCAGATCCAAGGAATATCCAGACCTCAGGGTCTGAGGCGTTCCCTACAAATGAGAGTGTTGTGCTTGCGTGTCTGTGAGGGCGGTTGCCACACCTGCCTGTTAACCTCAAAGATCAAGCATCACTTTTTTTTTTTCCCCAAACTTTTATTGAAAAACTGAGGGAGTATGCTGTATCCCTTTTCAGAAAAGCCTCTTCTCATACCTGTAGGCAGAACAACCAGCTTTGAGGTGGGGGCAGCAGAAAGAAGGAACCTCTGCCCCAAGGGTAGGTGGGTACCAAAGGGTTGGTCACTTACGAATGGAGGCTGTGAACACCCCCTTCAACCTGAGCTGAGGATGTTCTCTTCTCAAACTTGAGTTCTCCAGAATACATCATGGCTCTGAAGAGAGGCAAATGTCAGATGTGGGTACCTGGCCCTCAACTAGCTCCTCCACCCATGTCCCAGCTCTCCTGGCTTACCGGACTTGGGTCAAACTCTTGGCACCAATGTCCTGGCAGGAGTGCTGGATGCCAGCGATCAGGTAGGGGACAAATTTGTGGATGGACCCTTTGTCCTGCACAGCCCCAGACACCCCTTGGGCCACCTTGATTTTATCAGCTTCACTGTAGGAAAAGGCAAGACGACATAGGCAAGGTCAAAGCATGGATGAGGCTATCAGTACAAGGCTGTCAGTACAGGGTAATTGACCTTCCTGTCCCACCTGAAATATCGGTTCTGGCTGCTGAGATGCTTGTCCATGGCATCAAGAGAACCCATACCACGGTATTTCTTTAGCCGGATCCCATCGGAGAAGAAGTACTCGCCAGGGGCCTCAGTGGTAGCAGCCAGGAGGGAACCCATCATGACTGTGGACAAATGGGAGTGAGGGGAGCAGACGCTGAGTGGTCCTGGGGAAGGAATCCCACCAGACTCCCTGGGTGTTGGGCCTCACCTGTGGAGGCCCCAAGGGCCAAGGCTTTGGCGATATGGCCCACATTTTGGATTCCTCCATCAGCAATAACAGGAACACCAAAGCGCCGTGCATATTCTGACACCTTATACACCGCTGTTGCTTGTGGCCGCCCGCAGGCCAACACTATTGAGAAATGGAGGAACAGATGGGTGGGTGGAATCCGTGGGGACAGGCAAGGGGCCCTGCAGCCGTAACTCAGCACCCAGGAGCTCTCCGCTACACCTGTACCAGGACTGCAGTCCGGCTGAGAAAGAGTCATGTCTGGAAGGGCTGCTGCCCTGTCTGCCTTCAACAGTTCAAACAGCAGTGATGGCCTCCACTCAACCCTGCATGTGCGCGTGCATGTGTGCTCGGCCCAGGGCAGCCTCAGGCACATGCAGTCAGCAGCCGGGGGTGGGGGTGGGGTGGAGCCCCACCCACCTGGTATCAAGTGGGGGTAGGTGTCACCGTGCAGTTAGTACCCAGAGGCCCACCCACCCCTTCCTCCCAGCATGGTTCGCAGCTCGGGCAAGATCAGGGGCGTGGTCATGTGGAAGGAAGAGGGCGCTTGTTGGTCCTTGAGCTGTGCCTACTGTAGGCAATGTGAAGGAGGTCCTGCCCTACAAGCACCCCAGGAAGAGGAAGGAGCTGTGTTCTCCAGCAGCCCCTAAAACCATGGTCTGTCATTCAGTTTGCCCTGCCCACCCATCAACACCACAAACCCCGGGAGCTACAGCTACAGTCAACCAAGCAGCCGGGCAGTGGGCAGCTGGGCCGGGCCAGTGGGCCGGGCTGGACTTACTATAGCAGCCCTTGACAGTAGAAGGGCATTTGGGGCTGTGGGACTTTATGTCTGGAGGGATCTTGGGAGCCACTAAATAAAACAAACAGACCAGAGTTTAGAGAGGGTGCAGAGCAAGAGCAAGGAGGCCAGGCTAGCCAGGGGGGTAGTGGCAGGTGAGGAATGACGAGCTCGTCTTCCAGCATGTCACCCATCCAAGGGGCCTGTTTGGCCCTGGGACTGCCCCTATTGGAGGACTTAGCATAGTTCCCACAAGAGCGCTTGGCTCCAGGCCATAGGGGGCTAAGGGCCCTGCTGAAGCCAGAGTGTCTGAGGGCCCCACCGAAGCATTTCCTACCTTCCTGGGTGATGCAGATGGAGCCACTGCCCATGCCCACCCGCAGGGCATCTACACCAGCATCAATGAGGTTCTTGGCCTGAGCAGCTGTGACCACTGCAGTGAAGAGCAGGGAAAGGCTTGTGTGACGATCTGAGTGGGAGCCTAGCTCCTCCACCTCTTGCCCCACATCCTTTGGTGCCCAGTCGTGCCTCACCATTGCCTCCAATAACTTGGAGGGAGGGATATTTCTCCTTGATGTACTTGATCATGTTGATCTGGAAGATGGAGTTTCCTTGGGAAGAGTCCTGGGACCGGGAGAAAGTCCCAGTGAGACTGGTATGACAGCTGTCCCTACCACCCCACCCTGCCTGTGCAAGATCTCACCAAAACCACTACGTCCACTCCAGCCTGGGCTAGCAAATCCAGCCGATACTTGTCATCTTCATGAGTGCCAATGGCTGCTCCACACAGCAGCTGCTTCTTGGCGTCTTTGGAGGCCAGTGGGTAATCCCGGTTCTTCTTCAGGTCTGTCCGGGCAATGATGGCTACCAGCTCATCATCTTCATTTACAATGGGTAACTTTCCTGGGGATAGGGAAGGTACATAAATCAGAACTCTGATCTTTGGTTCCAGAACCCTTCCACCTCTAGAACTCACCCTTCTTGCTGCGCTGCAGAATTTCATTTGCTTCCTTCAGTGTGATGCCTGCAGGGGCTACCACCAAGTCTTCCCTCTTCGTCATGATCTAGCAGTGAGGGGAGCTGTGAGAAGGGCCCAGAGACCAGACCTCCAACATACCCTGACCTAACTCGGGGGTGAGGTTCCACAGACCACCCTGATCACACACCTGCACCCAAACCACCCTCCTCAAGTGAACCCAACAGCCAGTGCAGCAATACAGTGGCACGGGTGAGAATTGAGTAGAAAGAACAATGTGGTACACAGAACATGCTGTTACATAGCGGAGAAAGAAGGGCCCTGCCACAGCAATGACGAGAGTTGGAAGAGGAGGCTGTGGTTGGTCCTTGAGCACTGCCCCCACCTTGGGAGTGGCAACACAGCATGCATGCTGGCAAACACTTAGGCAGAATGAGAGCATCTGGTGGGGAAGAGATGCAGGAACCCCATGAAGGGGTCAGAGACTTGGCTGGGCATTCATCTTTCCTGGACAGCAGAAGCCCCCAGAGATGCCATTCAGGCAACAGAAACCTCGTCTTAAGCCTTGGCCGCCAGAGCTTGGCTTTGCTTTGTCAGTAGAACCCACCTCTTCCAAAAACCGGTCGTGTTCCTCCTCCTTGAGAAAATCTATGTCCCTTGAAGAAATGATGCCCACCAAGCGGCTCCCCATCCGGCCCGTGTCGGTGATTGGGATACCACAGAATCCATGCCGGGCTTTGGCTTCAAACACATCCCGCACTCGATCCTTGGGGCTGAGGACCACAGGGTCTGTAATGAATCCCTGCTCATATTTCTGGAAGGGATGGTGAGAAAGAACATTTCTGAACCGTCTTTACCAGTCTGAAGCCTGGGGTCTACGCCAACTCCCCCTCTGGCAGTACCATAGGACCAAATCACAATTCAAACCCAGGGATAGTAAACGTGGGTGGGCTGTAGGTACTATCCACCTGGTCCTCTTCTCTTGCCTTAGGACACAAGGTCTCATGCTCTTCTCAGGAACTGAACCCCAAAGTGGGGAAAAAAGGATCCTAAATTAGGAAAACAAATCCCCCACTTCCACCCCACTCCACCTCAGTGCAATTCCCAGGAGCTCTTGACCACGATCCTTGCCCTTCTGACCTTCACTTTCCGAACTTCGTTGGCTTGGAACTCAGGTGTACAGTTGTGGTGGATGAAGCCAATTCCACCTGTAAGCTGCATGATAAACAAGATCGTGAAAAAGTGACGAAGAGCAGCATGACTATGTATGTCTTTGGGGAAGAGTGTGAGGCCCCTCCTTTTGTCCTTACACCCCATGATGCTCACCGCCATTGCTATGGCCATGCCAGCCTCTGTGACTGTGTCCATGGGTGAGGAAACCAGTGGGGTCTTCAGAGTGATCTTTTTGGTCAGAGCAGAAGTCAGGTCCTGAGGAAATACGGCCCGATAATGTGGCAAATACCTCATAAAAGCCTCAGGGTGGTGCCAGGTCCCCCATAAAACAGGTGCCCTGTATGACCTGCATGCCAATCAGACTATTCCATAGAATCCACCCCCAAGCCCAATCTGCTGTGGTAGCCGAGAGACCAGGGAAGAGAAGTACCTTACCCAACCTTGATGCTCAGGACCCAATTTCTGGCCATACTCACCACCTGGTCTGCAGTGAAGTCGATGTACCCAGGGAGAATGAGAAAGTCACTACGGGGGAGGGGAGCGAATTGGGAGTAAGGCTCAGGCTTAGGGCGGCCCAGGATTCCATCCCCATAGATCATGTCATAAGGCATCTGGGCCTTAGAGGGCACTGACCTAGCCCGTGTCACAGGCAGGGCAGACAAATCACAAGGTGGAGAAGGAGTCGGGACCTTTTCTGCCACCTAGCTGTCATCAGCGACCCTGGCACCCTGACAACTCCATGTGCCGAGAGAATGAAGCTTCTAGCCTGAAATCTCAAGCACTGCCAAGATGCCTCCTCCATCCCGCCGCACTTCAGATCTATCAAACGGAGCCCCAGAGATGGGTGGGGAATTCTCCGGAACCTGTCTCCCATGCCCGGGTCTAAGCGGGCTCTGTGGAAAACCCCGCCCGGCCTCCCAGTCCAGCGCGCCGCCCGTCTCCTCGCCCAGGTGAGCCCGCTAGGCCCGCACTTGTAGGTGAGGCCGTCCCCGCAGTTGAACAGCTGCTGCGCTGTGAGCCCGTCGTCTGGCACGTAGGACGTGCCCCCGCTAATCAGGTAGTCGGCCATGGCCACCGCCGGGCAAAGCCGCGTGTGTCCGAAGACCGCGCCGCAGAGGCCTCAGCCGTCTGGGCCGCGCCAATATAAACCCGCCGATACCGTCATTGCGCCCTGCGCGTCACTGACGTCAGGACGCAGTACGAACAGGCGGAGCCCGTGCGCCTCCCGGGCGGGGCTATCGAGGGAGCGCATGCGCGGAGCACGCCCTAGGCGCGCAGCCACAAAGTTGGGCGTTCCCGGGGCTGCCCCCTCCCGCAGGACCGTGACCCGTTCAACCAGCAGGCAAGGCTTTGCTTCCGATGGCCCGCTGGGCTCCTCCCAAATAAAGAGGCGATGTTCACTAGCATGTTGAAAAGACGTGCTTGTCATTCTTAATAAACAACTAGATTAAGAATACATAAGAGAAACAGAGTGGTATCTTTATATGATACACAAGTGTATGTTACAAGAATTCCATCAGGCACAGGAGCCTCAGGTTTAAGGCCTCAATGCTAGGCCAAAAAAAAAAAAAAAAAAGGCATGGTAAAGTTTTTACTTTAACATCTAAAATGTCACTTGTCATAAAGGAGGGTGTAATAGAAATTGTCTTTAATAAATCATAATTGAAGTTCCCCTCATTTTCCTTCCATTAAGATGCTAAGTTTATGTCTGAGCATGAAGAAAGAAAAGACCATGGCTCCCCTGTGGTCAGCGACGTCTGCCAGTCAGAGTGGAAGCCAGCTGGGGAGATTCCCTGGAGGGTCCGTCACTAATTCCATCTTTCTGGAGTAAGGGAAGGGGCCACATTTCTCCTAACAGTCCGAGCCCTTTCCCCAGGCCCCAGACAAAAAAGAAAAAGCCAGCCAGCAACTTTCTAGGACATCTGGCTTTCAGGAAACCCAGAGCCCCCATGGGCTGAGGAATCTGCTGCAGCAGATTTACGGTGACGCACAGGAGGCAAAGTTTCCTTTTACATTTTAAACAGAAGCAGTCTGAAAGGCTTCATAACTACACCAATTAAAAAAAAAAAAAGAAAAAAATGGAGGCCTCTTCTTTAGTGTGAAAGTCTGTCCATTTTTTTTTCCTGGATCATCTCCCTTGCACCATGGCTTAGGGATCTCAGTGCATGGTGCTTGCGTTGGCCACTGCAATGGCCTCCTGAATTTCTCGTATCACCAGGATCCGAGTCAGCATCTGTCCCATTTGCTCTCTGCTGATAGGCTGGACCGAGTACCAGATTGGGCTATTGGGGGCCACCACTGGCTCAGGCGTCAGATAAAACGTGTCATTCCGGCCTTTCACACTCTGGGGGCTGAAAAATATATCAGTAAAAGCTGGGTAAAACCACAACATTCTCAACCCTCCCACCCTGGAATATTCCAGACAGATGCTGTATGCAAAAGGTGGGAAGACAGCAGCTCTTCAAAGGTATGATGGCATAGCTACTGAATTCCATGCAGTCAACACACATTACCTCTAGGGCCTCCTTTGGGGCTACTGCCAATGCCAGTAATAGGCTGTCTCCCTTCCGCTTCTCCCTCACATACTGCCAGCTGTGATTCCTCTAACCACCTGCCTCGGAATGCCAGGGTTCATCTACTGGAGTCCAACCGTATCCCACTTGGAACCAACTGCACTGCCTACAAGGTCCTCTTCAAGTCTTTGTTCATGTTGTTTCCTCTACCCAATCCACTGAATTCCTAAATTTTACATAAGGGACTCTGCCTTCCCAGCTTGGCTGTGATGCTGGGACCCTTACCTGGGCTCATCCTCCACCCCCCTCAATGTTGTGCTGTACTTAGCATATGCCACTTCTAACAGTTATATTCGCCCATCCACTCAAGATTTATCAAAGGGTTACTGTGTGCTAGGCCTGCACTACGGGCTGGTGTTCAAGAAATGAGCAGGATCCAAGACTCCCTACCTTATGGAGCTTACAGATAAGAGACAGTCAACAATTAAACAATTACATAAATGACAATCAGTGGTAAGTGCTACAGAGGAAACAGCCCAAAAGAACAGGTAGGGAATCTGGAGATGCTTCTGATCAAGTTGTTTTGAGAAGAGAGATGGATAGGAGCCAACTAGCCAAATATGGGGGCGGGGAGGGGAGGCTTGCCCAACAAGGAAAATTCCTAAGCTGAGGCCTGGAGGTAGGGAGATCATGATGCTCTGGAGTGGAGAGGAGCCAGTAGCTAGAGAGCCAAGAGGTACAAGGACGTGAGATTAGCAAGGGGGAGTATACGTTAAGGCCTTGTTGGCAAGATTAGGATTACTCTTTCTCTATACAATAAATGGAAACCACCGAAGGTTTTAATCTAAGTAACATAAGACCTATAACATAGAAAGAGGATTCTGGCACTGCAGTAAAGATGACATGCCAAACTGCAAGGGCAAGAGAGTAAAAGCCAAGGAAAGAAATCCCCCCTAGATTGATGTTGCTAGTGACAAACGTCAAGGCCAGGAAGATGCTACATGATGGAGGCCGCCTTTCTGTACTTTCCTCCATCTCCCCCATTCCCCTCTCCAAGACAGGAGACCATATAAAATCACAATGCTAGTCATTTCACATGCTTTGGGGAAACCAGTCAGGCTGCTTCTATATTTAGCTTTTTGGAAATGTGTTTTTACTCTGTTTGGGACTAAAGAATGCCTTATACACAGGTACAGTGCACTCATGCACACATACAGTCACCCAGCCACCATAAAGCTTCCTCACCATTTAAAGAGGTAGAAATCGTAGAGCTTGATGGGACATCTCAGTGGATTCTCTGGATTTTCCGTCTGTTCTGCATACATGTCATCTGTAACTATAAAACACACCCCCACCACCAGGGACATGGCATGAGACTGCCTTAGCTCAGGACCAGATTAGGAACCTTAGGCTTGGGGGCGCCTGGGTGGCTCAGTCATTAAGTGTCTGCCTTCGTCTCATGATCCCAGGGTCCTGGGATCAAGCCCCACATTGGGCTCCCTGCTCAGTGGGGAGTCTGCTTCTCCCTCTCCCACTCCCCCTGCCTGTGTTCCCTCTCTCCCTGTGTCTCTGTCAAATAAATAAATAAAATCTTAAAAAAAAAAAAGGAACCTTAGGCCTCTAGCCAGCCCAACTAGACTTACTGGGAGAGGAAAGGGTGTGAGGCATGAAGGGAAAAAGCAGCAATCGTTTCTGGGGCATCTCTGCTTCGAAAAGAGTTTCAAGTTTCTAGGTGGGGAGAAGGGAATGGAAAATTCCTATCCAGCAAATCCCAACTCAACTTCACACTCAACACTAACCCCCCAGGCACAAGGGCAGGGCAGGACAAGTTGCACCTGTTTCTGCGGCCCCTACCTTTCTGGCCAGTCTGGTGTATCCCAAGAGCCTTCAGGTATCGAATACTCGTGCTTTTATCCTTAGGATTAGAGGGGTTCTTCTTTGTCTGTCGCAAAACCTTGGAGAAGGCCAGCTTCATGTGCTGGTCCACTGTCTTCAACAGGAAGTATCTGCACCACAAGTGAAAGCAAGGCAAAGGGAGGGGTGCCAGGAGGAGACTATGACTTACCCTCTGCCATCGGTGCCTCAGAGGAGCCGCTGTGCACACTCCCAGGATGTGGGCAGGCCCATACCCAAAAACACTGTCTAGTGGAGGAACCAAATCAAGACGGATGGCAGGCGTCTGGCAAGGCTGTATGCCTCACTGGTCACCACACAAATGTAGCCAAGTGGGGCTGAAGGCTTTTAGTAGCCCAAAGGCTCTCAAATATGTGTCAAAGGAATTCCTATATCTACCTGGATAGTTTCCACCCTCTTCACTGGGCAAATGCCAGCAGTGGCTAAACATGGAGCTTCTAGAACACTTACTTGGTGTTAAAGAACATGAGGGTGGTCAGCAGGGTGGAAGGGGAGTGAGCCCCGAGCTGCTTGCACTCCCACAGCATCTCCTCAGTCACGTGGCTGGGCAGGACATAGCCTAGGAGGAATAGAGCACTGCTACAACAAGAGGATGGCAGGTGGGCCCTCAGAGGTGCAGGATGGGAGGTGGGAGGCACAAGGACCACAAAAGAGTACAAGTTTAACCAGAAAAACCTCCCTAGGGAATGGCAGAATCATCTGGAAGCTTGTTAAAACACATATGGCTGGGTCCCAGCCCAAGTTTCCGGGGGGGAACTGATAATGTGCATTTCTAACAAGTTCCTGAGAACCACTGCCCTATATGCATGCTCTTACCTGATGTTAATTCTTCCTCTAATCCAAGGTTAAAGTGGGGCAAGAAAATACTGGAACATCCAAAACTATAAATCAAACTCTGCAAGTATGCATACTTCTCTAGAAAGAGGGTACAGAGCTTTCATCATATTTTCAGGTGTCAAGGGCCCAAAGAGCTGGTATGGGTGCACCTGTTTGCCCTTGCTAAACCTCTCGTGTTTTCCACTTCTAGAAAGCAAACCCATTCTCATCCCCTCTCTGGATAAAGGGGAGAATGATATTCAGAACTACTACAGGATTCCCCGACAGTGCAGGTTTTACTTTAAGACCCTTGTTCTTAAATGAACTGAGAGCTGGGCAGGGGCAAAGGTCAGGGTGCAGCCAGGTCTACACCAAAGGAAGAGAATACTTGAGTTAATCACCAAGCCCCCTTCATGTGTCACTCAACAGTTAATGTACAAGTGTTTGGGTGCCAGGTACTGAGGCCATGGTGAAAGCATTCTCCTGCAGGAGTTTCAGGATCCTCCAGGCAGGCAGCAAGGATGTCACTTCCTAGAAGCGGGGAAAGAAATATTCTGCCCAACACATTCCTCTTCTCTGCTCCTGCCAAAGCTGGCCCTCTGACTCCATTAAGTGCACTCCCATCTCTCCAGGGCAGCTCTGCCTCTACTCTTCTATTTTGTGACCTACTGCCAATGAGATAAGCTTCCCTGCCCTCAAACATATCTGAAGCAGATGAGTGGCACAGACAGCCCTCCTTGGGGAAAGCCAGTGGTAGAAGTGGTACGACACATATCTTGGCATGCGCTATTTTCTAGGGTTTACTTCACTCTGCCATTTATATGAGCTTCCCTAGCTTTAACCACTTCTTAATAAAACTTAAAGTGAAGTTTAGGGTCAAAAACCAGGACTCTTGGCATGGGAGAAGGGAGACGCAGATAGGGACGCATCATATAAAAACTAAAGTTCTCAATCTGAACTGCAAGCAACAAAATGACCTATTTTATCTTTTTTTAGTATTTCCCACTGAAAGGCTTATGAACAATGACCAACCCAGGAGCAATGAACACCCCTGTGCATCCAGACTATGATACTTAAAATACCATTTACACTAAAAGGAACCAGTCTCAAGGAGAACTGACCAATTTCACATTGAGACAGAAAATAGAAAATGTCCAATATCAGCCTGGAACATCTGGCAAATCAGAAATCAAGGAAATAGGGCCAGGGCCATGTCAAAAGAACTTAAAAGCCAATTTAAGAGGTTCCAAATGGCCAAAGATGGAACAATCTGCACAGCAAAAAAGATAACTGCTATGGACTGAACCAAATTAAATATGTTTAAACTCATTAGTTCACAATGATTCCTTAAAAAAAAAGTGAATTGGTTATCACTGGATGAAACTGGTGAATCAACTCATTACCATAAAAACTGCTAAACATGGGGCACCTGAGTGGCTCAGTCGTTAAGCGTCTGCCTTCGGCTCAGGTCATGATCCCAGGGTCCTGGGATCGAGCCCCACATCGGGCTCCCTGCTCTGCGG